AACACAGAAAAATTCATATTACTAGAATACATTGGTATCGAAGGAACTAGATTCTGTTCCGAAATATCACTTACTCGAACCGTCCTGACCGCGTAGCTCGGTTGGAAGAGCATTGGGCTAGTATTCCAAAGGTCGTAGGTTCGAATCCCACCGTGGCCGCGTATATTTTTCAAGCTCGCCTGGTGTGGATATACACTCAGAGTAACACCACAAATATCATATTCACCTGAGTACACTACACCAACACAGAAAAAAAAATTCATATTACCAGAATACATTGGTATCGAAGGAACTAGATTCTGTTCCGAAATATCACTTACTCGAACCGTCCTGACCGCGTGGCTCAGTTGGAAGAGCATTGGGCTAGTATTCCAAAGGTCGTAGGTTCGAATCCCACCGTGGCCGGGCATATTTTTCAAGTTCGCCCGGTGTGGATATTCACTCAGAGTAACACCACAAATATCATATTCACCTGAGTACACTACACCAACACAGAAAAAATTCATATCACTAGAAAACATTGGTATTGAAGGAACTAGATTCTGTTCCGAAATATCACTTACTCGAACCGTCCTGACCGCGTAGCTCAGCTGGAAGAGCATTGGGCTAGTATTCCAAAGGTCGTAGGTTCGAATCCCACCGTGGCCGGGCATATTTTTCAAGCTCGCCCGGTGTGGATATACACTCAGAGTAACACCACAAATATCATATTCACCTGAGTACACTACACCAACACAGAAAAAAATTCATATCACTAGAATACATTGGTATCGAAGGAACTAGATTCTGTTCCGAAATATCACTTACTCGAACTGTCCTGACCGCGTGGCTCAGTTGGAAGAGCATTGGGCTAGTATTCCAAAGGTCGTAGGTTCGAATCCCACCGTGGCCGGGCATGTTTTTCAAGCTCGCCCGGTGTGGATATACACTCATAGTAACACCACAAATATCATATTCACCTGAGTACACTACACCAACACAGAAAAAAAAATTCATATTACCAGAATACATTGGTATCGAAGGAACTAGATTCTGTTCCGAAATATCACTTACTCGAACCGTCCTGACCGCGTAGCTCAGTTGGAAGAGCATTGGGCTAGTATTCCAAAGGTCGTAGGTTCGAATCCCACCGTGGCCGGGCATATATTTCAAGCTCGCCCGGTGTGGATATACACTCAGAGTAACACCACAAATATCATATTCACCTGAGTACACTACACCAACACAGAAAAAAAATTCATATTACTAGAAAACATTGGTATCGAAGGAACTAGATTCTGTTCCGAAATATCACTTACTCGAACCGTCCTGACCGCGTAGCTCAGTTGAAAGAGCATTGGGCTAGTATTCCAAAGGTCGTAGGTTCGAATCCCACCGTGGCCAGGCATATATTTCAAGCTCGCCCGGTGTGGATATGCACTCAGAGTAACA